AAATTGCTTTATTCTTTGATGGAATATTTAAAAAGACAAATTTCCCTTCATTGTGCGCTAAATGTTTTTCTAGATACTGCAGTGATCAGATTTAAATGTTTAAAATCATCCTGAACTCTTTATATTCCTGTTAACCTGCTCTATCTGTGTGCACTCACACTCACAGCAGTAATCTGTGTTAATCTGATAAAGGGCCTAGATTATAGTGTCTGATGTTTTCAACTGTTAACATATCAAATGGTGGATCAGAACATCACTGATTCTGGGGGTCTTTAATCTAGTTTCTTTGGGTTCCACAAAATATTGCAGTATTTTTATTTAGGACAGTTGACTGGACCATGTCAACCACTTCCTGTGTTAACCTGTATTATGACCCTCAAAATCTGTAATATTCAGAAAACCAGCTGTATTTCTTGCACACAGGGTGGGGGCAGAACATGGGGGGAGATAAGTACACTTGTAGCACAGAAAAGCAGAGGAAGGAGGATGAGGACAGGTTATGGAACTTATTTCTAGCAGCAGAGCAGGTTGGGAAGTGATTATTTAATTTTATTTATTGGTTTTTAAAAGAAAAACAACCACTAATAAATCAGAGATTTTGAAAAAACCATGAAATTTCTCATATTTCTTCTGACGTTCATATACACTCAGAACTGACACATATTTGTGTAATTTATGAACAATCCATATAACTGGACATGAATGCTGGACAATGGTCACTTTGGATAGATGGAGATTATTAGCATGTTTGACAGATAGTGGAGGCAGACTGGTTGGCCAGCTGGACACACGGCCAGTTTGCACAGTGACTTTGCATTTCTCAGTGATGAAGGAAACTGGTCAGCAAGACGTAAAGTTTTCCCAGAATGCAGCTGGACTGAAAGTTAAAGTAGATGCTCCTGCTCTGCAGCACATGTGAAAGTGTAGTGCAGCAGGAAGATGTGAATATCCTTGTTACTGTAAATGATTCACCTTCAACAGTCAGAGTTAAAGCTGCTCAACCATCCACCATCAGATGGATCAGTTCTGGCCGTGTTGGAACCACAAGGAGAAAAAACAGTTTTAGCCCCTTCCTGATTCATTTTTTTACATGTTTGTCACATTTAAATGTTTCAGATCAACAAACAAATTTAAATATCAGATTCAACACAAATCAATTCAGTTTATTTATTTAGCACCAAGTCTTAAAGTGCCTGTGACATGCATATGCATGAAATACAAAAAGTCAAAGAAAATATATTTATACTTTACATAATACACGTGATTTTACCCGTTATGGCACATAATCACCATATTTTCTTTTGAACTTGCCTTGGCTAAACAAAACAGGAAGTGACATCAAAGGGGAACTCTTTGAGAAAGAAAACAGTTTTTTTGGTTAAAACTCTGACTCTCTCATCCCTCGATGATAATGATTAAAATAAACTGCAGTTTATTCTCTACGGTCTGTGTTGGTAGCTATAGCTGCACCGCTCTGTTCACATTCAGACACTCCCCTGTGACATCACTTCCTGTTACTTCACATGCAAATATCTCAACAACTGTTCATCTCAGTGGTGTGAAATATTTTTTTACAATATTTCATCATTGTTATCTTTCCAAAAATAAATTCATATTTATTACAAAAATTTGATTTCACAGGTACTTTAAGCACAACAGGTGTCTTAAGCACAATCCAGTAACTGGATAAAAAAGACTATCAAATGTGTTTTAAGTACTAGAAGTAGAATTATGTACAAGTTAGATAGTTCAGTAAATCAAAAGTTTCCTTGAGCAAAGCTAACCACAGCAAAACAGGAAGTGACACAGTTCATCCTACTACAGCTGTCAGCCATCAGCCAAGATCCAAATAACACAAGTAAACACAAAATGGAGTTCATAAATAGAGTACATGAAATCAAGAACATTGTGGACAACCCTGACCATCCTCTTCATCAGACTGTCATAGAAAGACAAAGTGTGTTCAGTCGGAGGCTTCTTCACCTTCACTGTAACACAGACCTACAGAAGATCCTTCCTGCCCACAGCCATCAGCTTCTACAATAAGTTGTTAGTTCAATGAGTTACAACAACACCTCATTTCCCTCTGGATCAATAAAGTCTTTTTGAATTGAATTGAATAAATGAAGGTCTTTATTATTAAGGGGAACTAAATCTAAACCTGCAGGGCTCTGTGTGAAAAAGTAMATGTTACCTGTGTTTTATCACATGCTTGGAAAGCTGTTAAATTTCCTTGGACACACCCATTCCCAATCAAGAAAACACTTTAAATAGGACCTGCCTGACAAATTAAAGTAGACCAAAATATCCTGAAA